AGGTCTAATCTTGTCACATGTCAAAAATCTATAATTCTTGAAGAATTAAAAGAATCCTTAATTCATTTAATATTCGAAGAACTAAAGATTAAAATTTATTCAATTGCTCCACCTTAGAAAGTAGCATAAATTCAATCCTTTAAAAGATTAAGCAAACATGAAAGATCAAAGACGTGTTCAAACAAAACAATCCTCTAATTGCAAATGGTATATAACATGCCCCATTCTTCGGCAAGCGCCTTACAGTTTTCAGAGGAATGTTTGGGGCTTCTTATGTGGTAACAGTTAACAGCTTCAACATTGTAGCCCTTAGAATATGGGGATTCTTTTCTTAGATCATCTTGGCAGGCTTTGTCCTACCATCAGCTGATCAGGCTCTTTAATGTTACAATCTTGCTTCCATGTGGTTAAATCCACTTCATCGAGTCCTTCATGACTTAATTTCATGTTTGTGAAAATGCTTAAAAATGTAGATGAAGATGCAGAAAGGCAAAAATGCAAAATGCAAGAATGCATGAAATGTTCGAGGCATTGATCCAGAAAAGTGTCTATTATTATAAATAATCTTTACTTAGACAAAAATGTTTTATCTTGTAAGAGACATAAAAACGATCAAATGTACATTCGGACTAAATCCTCTAGACCCCGAACAACTTCTAGTAGGTTGACAAGTCTTCTGTCTTCATCTGTCACTGGTTGTATGCCTTGTCGGACCATTCCAGTTTCCCTTGCCAGGCCGTGTAGATGACGAGCTGCCTTCTGTACTTGATCCAGGAAGTCTCGGATGACTGCATCTCTGGCCTTCACCCTTTGTTGTGCTTGCTCCCAACGGAAACGCCACTGTAAACATCCATCGAAGGGCACTATCTGAAGCTTGATTGCTTGCTTCTTGAACCCATCTACAATAGCTTCTAACTCAGCTATTGTTTTGCCATCTCTCTCATGTTGTTTCTCCATATCAGCCATCCGGATTCTCAAGCATTGGTTTTGATGCTAAGCGCCTCTGGGCAGTCTTCATCTGTTCCTTCCAAGCTCTCTCATTCTAGTATTTAGAAGCCACTTTCAACTTGGAGTTATCCTTGACTTTATCTTGATACCCCTTTCTCAAGTCTTCGAGCTCTAAACGAACTCTGTTTTGTTCTCTTTCTAGTTTGTCTGCTCGATCTTTCTGAGAGTCGGCATATAGATTCCACTGATAGCGCTCAGCCTCAAGTTCCTTTATCCTATTCCCCAGCTCATTGTTCACAGCTTCAAACTCTGTTTTGGCTATCTCAAGTCCAGAAGGGACATGCCTGAGATGCTCCTCCATGGTCCGTGTGTCATCACAGTTTGGCACCGGGGTGTTGTCGTTTTTTTGCAATCTTCGCCACTCTAAATAGTCTGGGGTAAGCATGTCTTTATCAGCCACAATATCCATCCGTAACACTTTCTTCCATGAATCGACAATCTCTTTGATCCTCTTCTTATAACTGTCACCGTGATACTCAAACTCTGATTTAGCTAGTCCGCATGTTGCTGGGACAAACTGACGTGCCCCATAATGTCTAAGTGCTAATAATGAAGCATACCCAACTGCATCCCAAAGTTCAGGTAAGGTCATAGTGTCAGAGTCCCCACATTGGAAAAGAACGTCACTGAGGAACAACCAGGGGGCTCTCCAAGTAATATCTCGGTCTTGATAGATGAGTGAAGACTTTCATCCACTTCTCTTTTGAAGTTCCTTCATGTCATTTCATGGTGATAAACTCTCTCAAATGTGAATACGTAGTGCTAAATCGGCGGTAGGCAACCCCATTAGTCTTCCAGAAGTGGCTGTGAATCCAGACTTGAAGGAGCTGAACACATCCAATGAATCTACCTCCGCCAGCTCTTCGGCAATGGTTGAGAGACCGAAAGGTCTCGGCTAAAATGGTTGGTGCTGGGTTGACCTGTTTCGGAAGTTGCTCAAATAGTTCCAACACGGTTGCGTCAATGCATCCCAAAATCTTTGGAAAGATGATCAAGCCATACAGACCTAGTGCAAAAAAGGTCTATAGTCTTCCATTCATCAGGGTGGTCATTCATTAGTTTCCTTATGTGGATCCACTCAATTCCCTGCCCGTTACCTTTGTTTCGGAGTCGGTCAGTCACCCACTTTTCATCAACTCCTGCAATCTTAGCCAGTCTGTTCTTGAAAGACTGACTCTTGATGTGTTTAATGTAGGCTCGCTCCAGTTTAATGCTTTCACAGTGCAATAGTGTAGTATACTCCTCGATGGTAGGTACCATGTCCTCCTGGTTAAAAGTGAAGAAACTGTATCCTGGGTTCCAGAATCGAACCAAGGCTCTGATTAAGGGCTCGTCGATCTTAACATGAAGCAAAAGTGCAATGTCACCATATCGCTGACTGAACTTCTGTTTCCAATCATTCTTCCAACTGCCCCAGATGTCCCGAAGCTCTTACACGTCGTTCTGCTTTAGGCTAATAGAGGCGTAGCTAACCAGTTCTGACACATAGCTTCCTTGAAGACTGTCTCCCTTTCCCTTCTGAATCTTCTTGGACCATAGTCGTACCTCGGGGTTTTTAATCTCTTGTATTACAACACCTTTATCCATTAATTCAGATTATTTTGTGTAACAAACACCTTTTTATAGATCAATGGCCTCTTGTTATGATGCAAATGATGAAAACAAAATAAAAGAGGACAAAATAAAAAAAATTAGTGAGGTAAATAAAAATAATAAAATGAAAAATCATACCCCACATGATATCTACCCGAACATGTTTAGTATTCCTACTCGGATATGATCTCTATCCCACATGCTAATTTCAAACAAATCCTAACCGCATATTTGTCTAGTTCGCATGCTTTGAACATAAAGTAAAGCATGAAATAATTCTGGCATCCTAGGGTTTGAAATGAGGTTTTGGGATATGCTCTAATTCTTCAAAGTCTCCCAGTTTAGGTTCTAAAAAACGGTACCCGAGTTCTCCTTGCTGGTGCCCCCTTGGGCGTGCCAGACCCTTAGTCCTAAACCCATCACAGGCTTGTGTGGACTAAGTTAAACTCGAGATGACACATTCCCTTATGTCTATGCGGAGAATAAATTCACACGAAGACATAAGGTATATGAATCCCGAAGGCTACTTGCTAGGCATATGCGGTGAATAAATTCACACGAATGCGTCGCTTTCACCCCCACTTAAAACGGGTTCGGAGCTCGGGTTTAGAGCCTTAGATGAAAAAAGACTTTAAGGTCTGAAATCATTGAGAAAACGGTTAGTACAACTATTTACTTGAAAAAATATAATCAAAAGTAAGCAATAAAGATCAAAATGTTACCTTAAAATTTAAACTTACCCTTTTTGTTAAAAAAACAACTGAAAATTACCTTAGCCTGACTCACTTGAAAATCCCAGTGGAGTCGCCAAGCTGTCGCAACCGTCTTTCGGTTGGGCCCCGGGATTGGGCTTCGACTTAAAAAATGTGGATTGGAGTCGCCACCGATCATTTATTTAAGAATAAATAGGTTGATCGGATACCTTATTTCTTACCTGATCTGCGTCTTTACAAAGATGTGTCGGGTTCGGGAGTCGGTTACAGTCAAGGAAGGATTAGCACCCTTGAACTGCCCTTTCGGTACTACGTAATTTCCAGTTGTCTTTGATTAAGAAAATTATAAGTTTAAATTAAAAGATAAAATAATGATCCAAAATTACTTACCTTTGACGGATTTAAAAATATACCCTTTAAAAGTTAAAATATGGGTTAGAAGAGATGAATAAATGATAAATAAAGGTAAAACAAATAAAATAATGAGATTAAGAAAGAAATAAAGTAAATATAAAATGAATAGAATATATAAAATAAAAATACAATAACACTAATATATACATAGCAAACAACTAAATAAAAATAAAATGATAATGTAAATAAATAAATAAAACAAGTAAAAGAATATAAAAACATAAAATATAAGATAAAGATAAAAAGAAAATAGATAAATAAATGAGTAAAATATATAAAAAAGTAAAAGCATATATATATAAGTAAAATAATAATAAAAAAATTAAAATTAATATACGTATTTATACATGTAAAATAAGAAATATATATATATAATAACACTAAAAAAAAATACATATACATATATAATAAAATTAATAGAAAGTAACATGCATATATAACAAGAATAATAAAGTAAGAAAAAATAATTTAGGGGGTGAATTAAATATTTAAAAAAATGAACACGCCTCGGGGGGTAGATCTAGGTTCGAAACTTCACCCCTTTTTGGTTATATACGCAACCCACGTTTTGAGTTATTAGAACCAAATCTCAAGAAAAATAACGTGCACATGCGAGAAATGAACGAACCAATGTAAAAAAGATGTTACCTTTTATTTCTTTTTCGAATCGTTTACAATAGCTTTGCCTTTGTATTTTCCGTGTTTTCCTCTGTGTTTTGTGTGTAAATCGTGTGTTACAATAGTAAGTTACAATGACTATTTATAATGCTTTTGAATCCTATCTTTAAGAGTTTAAATCATAGTAGAACACTATCTTATTTTTAGGAGTTTGAATTCTAAAATTCTATCCTAATTTTAAGAATTTAAATCCTAATAAGACGAAAAGGTGTGTTAACACTTCTAACGAAAATGGATAAAAAAATTAATATTCTATAAACTATAGAAATTTTTGTACTTTTCCCTTTATTGAAAAAAGTTGGCACAGTTTTGAGAGTTAAAGGTTGAGAGCAGAAGTCGCTGCAGAGCTTTCAACACATGTCGCCGACCCAACACAGCAGACTGGCGATTCTTGCGGACTCGTGTAATGACTAATGAGAGGGGTAGAAAACAACAAAACAAAGGTAAATGTTGGTTTGTAAGTAGTCCCACTTTGTGAAAAATCTCTACTTTTTCCTAAAAAGAAGAGAGGGGATAAAAAAAGAAAAAGAAAAGATGAAAACTTCTCCATATATAGCTATGTAAAGTTGCAGATGATCCTTTCCTGCGTCTTAAAAAGAACACAATAAAAGTGTTGATTTTCGAGGGGTCAAAATTATGGGCTAAAGAACAGGGCTTTAATGTTATAGAAACCACAACAACAACATTGTATTTGTTTTGTTTTGTTTTGTTTTGTTTTGCTTTCTGTCTATCACATTGTTGTTTGGTTTGGTTATTCGCTTGTTCTGAGAGTGTTCATGGCCGATGTTAATGCTGATAAAAATGCTACTTTGAGGTATGTATTTGTTTTTCTTCATGTTTTCTCATTTGGGTATTTTTTTAAGATTGTTTTTGTTTTCCTAAGTTTATTGAATGCTTGCATGTTGTTTGTGTTTTTGTTCTCCTCCATGTTATTTCATATGGGTATAATCTTGGTTTTGTTGAAAGTTCTTTCCTTTTTGTAATGTTCATCAATGGATGTTATGAAAAGAGTTATTTTTCTCTTTTCATCAAATGTTTGTTGAGTGGTGGCCATTGTTTTTGTTCCATTTTGTATTTACCAGAGCTTTTCTTTTACCATTTCCCCTTTTCCTTTTCCTTTGTGCTGTTTATGGAGAAGATTGGTTTTGATGCTATTCATGTTGTGATATCTAGTTTCTACATGATTATTGTTAGCAATTGTGAGTTTCAGCTTATCAATCTTGAGGATTTTCGGCAAATGTCACATTTGATAGACATGTATTTTTGTTTATTTTCTGCAAATCCTTTCTCTTTTGCATTGAATCTGGTTTAGAGCTACTTTTCTTTTGAGATTTTCAAGTTTTCCATAGGTAAGATGATGATTTCCATGTTGGCTTATGTTTTATTGTTGTGTCATCCTAAAGAATTTTTTGGTTTTGATAGATTATTGCGATGTTATCGTCGTTGGTGTCTTCCAGTGAGAGTTCCTCGGATTCCGGCGAGAGGGAGGATGAGAACTCGGAAGGTGGGGTTGTTCGAGCAAAACATAGAAGACAAGGAAAAAAACTTTCTACATATTCATCGGCCCAAGGTATTGCGACCTATCTGATTCATGTGTGGTGCATGTGTTTCTCTTAGTGCAAACTCTTACCGATCTTTCTTTCTTATTCTATTTAAGAATTGTGGGCATTGATTGCGGAAGACGATAAAAAAGATGGATCATCTCCTACAGGAGTTATAGAAGGTAGCTTTGAATTAGGCTCGGAACCCGATTTAACCTCTCCCGCTGACAGCCCCAAGGCAGAAATTCGTTGTTCACATCCAGCAGCTATTTCTAACTGGAGAAAATTCTTCAAATTATTGAAAAGAAAATCGGACAAGCACTTGCATACCTTCCCTCTATTTCCTGTACCCAAGCTATCAAGAAAGAACAACAGGAGCACGAAGGAGAGTCCTATGCTGAGAGACTTGTACAACTTCAAGTCTTCTTTAGAGAACTTCAGCCTATCTGAGCTCCGAGCTGCAACAGACAACTTTAACCGAGGTATGCAATTATTTTCAAGGCTATTAGCACTTGCAAAATATGAAGTTATGTCAGGATGCTTAACGATACTGTCAATACATTTGAATACAATGATGTTGATTTAATGTAAGGGTATTATTTCTTGTAGAGAACATAATTGGAAGGGGTGGTTATGCTGAAGTCTACAAGGGTCAGTTGAAGAACGGAAAGCTCGTAGCAATAAAGCGGGCGAACAAAGGGACACCAGATGAGAGGACTGCAGGCTTCCTATCAGAGCTCGGCATTATAGCCCATGTAAAACATCCAAACACCGCTAAGTTGATTGGATGTTGCATTGAGGGAGGAATGCACCTTGTCTTTCAGTTATCTCCAATGGGAAGTTTGGCATCAGCTCTTCATGGTTTGTTCCTAATCCACATTGTTTTTTTCGAGTCGTCATGATAAGTTTTTGATGCTCTTGAGTCTTCAACGTTATCCAGGTTCAAAAGGTACACTGGATTGGAGTAAAAGATATAAGATTGCTTTGGGTACAGCAGATGGCCTCACATATCTTCACGAGACTTGTGAAAGGCGGATTATTCATAGAGATATCAAGGCTGATAATATTCTTCTTACAGAGAACTTTGAGCCTAAGGTAGCTTGCATCTGTATTTTTCATGATAGAAGGGAATCATGAAACTACGTACTGGGAGGAAAAAAAAAGAGAGAATGCATTTTCTTGTAAAGTTCTAGAACTGATATTCGTAAGCTGGGTACTTACGGTTATCTACGATAACTAGGTGCTAAATTTTTTCCAGAAATCCATCCATGCATACTTCAAGTTTCCACATCTATTGACTATGGCAATTACCTTTGTTCATTTTTCTTTTTTTGTATAACATTATTTACCATTTGCCTGTAACACCCGAAAGAAAAGAAACCAGGTCAGTGTAATTGACAATTTCTATGTTCTTATGCTCTGTAATTTTTTAAACCATAAAGAAGCCGGTTTAACCAACCAATGATAGCTTGTTTTCGTTTCCCTAGTGATTGGCCAAATTTATGTTGTGTCCTAGATTTTGATTGTAATACCCTAATACTTGTGTTAAGCTTCATCACAATTTGAGCCTTATAAGGTATGAGCTTTGTGCAAGCCTTCAGGCCATACATTTGGAAACTTAAATCTAGTCACAAAATGAGGAGGTTGAAGCATATGCGGGATACGGGCTGCTTCCTTTGTGCTCACTCTGATGGTGGCTGCAGTTATAGTGAAACTCTTAGCCTATTATGTCAATACTATATTCTGTCTCGATATCTTTCCATTAAGTATGCATGGATCTTGTGTTGTGCTTTATGAGAACTAATATCACTGCCTTTTCTGTCGGAAAATTGTTTCCGTTATTTTGTTTCTAATAGGCGCCTCAAGTATACTATCATAGTTATTTTTGTCGATATATATAGGCAAGATCTACCCATAATAGTGCTGCTATATCTGTCATGTTTTTTTTTGGAAGTTTATGACATTTATTTTATAAAGAATGTCAACCATCTATTAGCATTTGTATATGATTTACTTTATCCGTTTCATTTATTGATAACGTAAGCCAATTTGTTTTCCAGATTTGCGATTTCGGTCTTGCCAAGTGGCTACCTAGACAGTGGACTCATTACAACGTATCGAAGTTTGAAGGCACTTTTGGGTTCGTAAGCTTCAAGTATCTTTATCGAGTTAATAAATACTTCTGTTGTGATGCTGACACATTTATTTCGTCGGGCTGCAGCTATTTTGCACCCGAATACTTCATGCATGGCATAGTTGACGAGAAAACTGATGTCTATGCATTTGGTATTCTGCTTTTGGAGCTCATAACAGGAAGGAAAGCTGTAGATGATCAACAGCAAAGTGTTGTAACATGGGTACATTTCTTACAAAAAAATCGATCACTCCAACGTACCAGAATCGTAAAGGCTCCTTACTTACCCTTTCTAATTTTTTTGTAGGCAAAGCCTCTTCTCGATGAGAATGATATTACAGAGCTCTTAGATCCTTTCCTCGGTGACGATTATGATGCAGATGAGGTTGATCGCATGGCTCTGACTGCCTCTTTATGCATTGAACATTCTCCTATTCTTCGTCCTCAAATGAGTCAGGTGAGGATTACTTATATAAGTTCTTGAATATTTGTTAACGCACGCTAGAAAGAAATTAGAGAAAACAAAGTAAGATTAGGAAATAAAAAAGATGCTGTGATATGGTATCCGACATAGCTCTTTTAGAAGGTCCACTGATTCGTTTCATTAGGAAAGAAACAGTACTTCCGTAAAGTTACTTCACTTATTTCAGCATGCTGATATCGTTTGATTTTACGATGCCACAATATGTTTGAGTTGCATGTTTGTCCATGTGCAATGGTAGAATTCACCCGACGATAGCAGTAAAAGGTCGACCTCTGCTTGCTTGTGGCATCCATATCTTCTTCTGTTCCTTGTAGTTTCTCAATGACCTTTATTGAAAATGAATTATTTTTTTCACGACGTCCCTGCCGAAACCGAATAAATATTGCATCAAGAAGTTCGAAACCACAAGCAACTGTGTATACCAACATTTAGAAATACCAATTCTGTGCATGAATGGCAAAATCGTTTTCTCAAGCGATGACTTGGTTTTAGGCTCGTGTTTTCTGTCTGCTTTTTTATTAACGGCGAATGATTATTTACCTTTTCATTCACTGGTTTGCTTCTCGTATTCGAAGATCGGATTCAAAAACAAAAGGTAACTAGTCCTCGTATTCCGGATTTGTTTGCATTTTGTGTAGATAACAAGTTAGTTTATGTTGTTTATAATGCAGGTTGTGATACTGCTGAGGGGTGATGAATATGTAGCAGAATGTTATAAAGAATCCCAAAATCCAACCCACCATAGAACATACTCAAACGAGCTCTGCGATGCTCAAGAGTACAACTCGACGAAACTGAACAATATCAATCGACTTCGGGAGATTGCTTTAGGTTCTTAAAAAGCCAGTTATAACTTTGTTTCGGCCGAAACCAGAGACGAATCATTACCAAAAAAACAAGATGGTGTTTTTGAGCATGAAGGTTTGCTGCAAATCTCATGGAACTAAGAGGAAAAATCAATTTGATGCTGTGTTTCATGGCATTTGGAAGCATGGGGTTCTTCCAAATTTCATGTGAAAAACAGTTTATCAAAATCAAAATTATGTCTCCCTTGGTGTAATGTATACATCTAAGGTTTGAAAACTTGGAAGGAAGTTGAAATATATATATATATATAGAAAACAAGAAGATAATTTTAGTAGTTTATTTTAATTTATCATTTTTATTTATCCAACGATTTTAAAATCGTATAAAACTTATAACGATTTACACTGCGTAAGTAGATTATAATCCGTATGTATTATATATATAATACATACCAAGTTTAGAGTGAGTCTGCTTAACTGGAGTTCTGAGTAAATCAAGCAAGGATTATCCATTAAGCTACTGTTGGTAATTGATGGAAGGAAACACAAGGAAAGGAGACCAAAATGGAAATAAAGGTTAAATTATGGGATAATTATCTTGTTTTACCTAATTAACAATTAGTTTGATTCTCAAGTTTTAGTTTATAAAAAGGGATAAAGCATTATTTAGGGAATCTTAATTTAATCATTATCTCTTCAAAAAAAAAATTTAATCCTTAAATTTATTTTTCCATATTAATTGTGTAATTTGATAACTTTTTTCAATTTCTGATGGATTAACTTGGGCTTTTAATCTTTCTTTATATTAAAGAATTAAAAATTCAAGTTTAAGGATTAAATTTAGAAAATGCCTAAATTTTGAGACTAATGTAAATAAAAAGTTTAAATATTTATTTTGATATGAAAAATATTTGAGATACTTAAAGTAAAAAAAGTATATCGGCATTTTTATGAATTAATTGTTTTTTTAAATAGGTACTTAAATTATATCAGATATATCAGACATACATTTAAGATACACATTTACAAAATATAACAATAAGCAATCAGTGACAACTTGATGAGTAAAAACATGAACTGTTAAGACAACGACATATAAAGACAGATCACTCTAATATTTTCAAACACCAAACACATAAGAGGAGAACCTAAAGAGTATCCAATAATAAAAAATCATTATTCCCTTAATTATAGTCTCATCTGACACATATAATCGAAAGCTAACGAAATGTCATATACAGACAACGAAGAAACGAAGCATCAGAAAAACAAACAACTAAAAAAATCTGTAGAATCACATATCAAAAAGATCAATAGAATAAACTTGCACCAAAAGTTCGGATACACCACTAACCATTATATCCTTTATTAAAAAAAATCAAGAAAAATATTATTATAATATGCTAAAATACAATTGAAAACTAATAAAATCGAACAATTATTAACTGAAAAAAAGGATGAAAATGACATGGGAGTGGTCGGGCAAAGCCACCACTGCTGCCCTTGACGAAAAAAATGTAGAAACTACCTTTAACTGCAACAGAGAAAGAAATGTAGAAATTTAAATTATATCATATATCTTCAAATTAAAAAAGTAAATAGTTTAGATATTTTTTGTGATAGAAGAATAATTTAGATACTTAAAGTAAATTACTTATATTTATGATATAGTTAATTATATTATACATTCTCAAATTATGATTTCCATTTTAAATTAGTTTTAAAATTTTTAAATGTTTTAATTTTTATCTCAAATTATGACTCTCATTTTAAATTGGCCTCTAATTTTTTAAATGTTTCAATTTCATTTACAAACTCATCCAAATATGTAATTAGTTTCAACGATGATTTAACCTAATTTTTATATTTTCAAACATATAATAATATATTTTGACCTAACAAGTTTTATTAACGAGAAATGTGATTAGCATATACTGATAGTTTGGGATGAAGTTGAAACATTCAAAAGAATCAATTTAGAATGAGAGTCAAAGTTTAGGAATGAAATTGAAATATTACAAAAATTTGAGGATTAATTTAGAATAAGAGACTCATTCTGTCCCACTTAAATTATCCCTTATTGACTTTTTTTTAGGTCAAAATTTTTTAACTTTGACTCATTATTATTGAAAATTTATTATTGATAAAAATATGAAAAAATATATTTTAAAACTTTTAGTCAAGTAGTTTTGAAATATATATTTAATAATTTTTATTTTCTTAAATATTTAATTTAAAAATAAAATTAAAATATTTACAAGTTTAAGGACTAATTTAAAACTAGAGTTATAATTTGAAAACATGTGATGTGATTCAGTCAGCTCTATATAATAATTTAATACTTTTTTTGACAAAAAATAATTTAAAATTCCTAAAATACGTAATTTATTAACGGAGGTTAGTTTAAGTGATAAGCAGTTTGATATCGCTTAAGTAAGTTTCGAATTCAAGTTCTTGTGTATATAAAAAACTTCACTGGTAGACTCATCTACTAAAATCAGTTGTACGACACGTGTCGATTGTACTAGTAAGGACGAAGTCATACGAATCGGTAGGGCAAAAAGAAAAAAAAACATAATTTATTATATTATTTTTAATTTAAAACTTAAAATAAAAAAAGAAAAAAGAATGGAAACGCAAGTCGAAAATGAGACGCAAGATGTGATGGAAGAAACGAATCTGAGACGTCAAGTTAGCATAATCTCTTTCAGCTGCAACTATTTTGTCTGGTTTAGTTTGGTAATTTTAATTTTATTTTCTGAAGATTTTGTAATTTCAAAATGCACGGCTGATAACTGTGCAAATCTATAATACGCACCCCCCGGGTTTTGTGGTTCGGCATCTCCCTTTGAGATATTCTCCTCCCCTGTCGTAACGCCTCTTCTTCCTTTTATTTTCACTCTTGCCCTCTTACTTTCTTTTCTTCTTCACTTCAGTCCCTCTCCTTGCTAATAATATTTTAATTATTTTGTATGATTACATATTTTAATAAGACTTAATAAAAAATAAGTGTATAAATTATAAACATTTATTCACTATAGATGCTTAAAGTATATTTTGTTCAATGTAGGTGGTTAAAGCTTTTGACGTTATCATTTTAAGTGTCTGGTCCGTCACGACAGTTAAATAAAATCGTCATTCATTCGGAGTGGAACATATATTGTGTTTATATATATTTTTAAAAATTTTAGTTAAAAAACTTATTTAAGAAAACCCAAAATTATTTAAAATTATAGAAAAATCAAAATCTCTGAAATCTTTAATTCTAATCTCTTTACCATCGTTGGCCGCCACTAACTCCGTCAAAACCCCAACATCGCGAGAATAGTCGAAACTTTAACGACATTCACCCAGGTAAAATAAGGGAGACTTAATTCAAAGTACAATGAATTTTGTTGCTCAAGTGCGTTAAGGGTGCGATGGAATCATATTCAATGAAGTGACCAATGATAGAGGGCAATAAAAAGGGTGACCGCGGCGACTGAAGATGATAAATGGGTTTAAAATTAAGAATTTTTAGAGTTTGAGGGGATTAGGTTTGAGAGAAATTCAGAAGTTATTTTAATGGACGTGACAGACCAAATGCCTAAAATGATGATGTTAAAAATGTAGAACATCTATATTAAATCATTTTGACCAAACAAGGACTCCATCGAACAATATGAAAACTCAACAGGGACTGGTCCACAATTCTCCCGTTACTGGTTGCACTGCGATTAACATTTAACGAAGAAAGCAAGAGAACCGCGTCTTCTCTTCCTTCCTAATCCCTTCCTCCCTGTTAAAAGGGTCAAACCCAACTATCGCCCAAAAAGAGTTTCCATTAACGGTGATCCTCTAACATTGAAGCGCTGCCGTTTTGTTATTTTTACCTCTTATGCTATTGGCGATCGATTCTTTCTATCCCGGTAACGTCCCGGTGGCCGGAAAAGGAAATTGAATTGTTTCTGTATTATGAAGAGAAACGGAAACATCGGGAACAATAAAGGCTCGAATATTGGTAATAATAATCGCTTTTTGCCGAATTCTTTGAAATTCATTTCTTCCTGCTTGAAAACAGCCTCTTCCGGTGTCCGGTCAGCTAGTGCCTCCGTCGCCGCTTCTGTTACCGGAGGTTCTCAGGAGCATCCAAGAGATCAGGTTTATTTTCTTTCTAATTTTTCATTGATTTGTTTTTATTTTTTTTTGAAAAAATAAGCTTTCTTATTTTATCGTTCCATGGCTCAGGAAAAAATAAAGAGAAAAATCAAATTTACTTCATTTCCAAAAAAAAAAAAAATAAAGTAAAAAATTACTTCTTAGGGCTTAATTAAGTGAATGTTGAAATGTACAGCTAAAAGTTTATTTCTTTGTAAAATTTTATCCTTGAACTTAATTGCTTTTCGTTAATATTTGCTGAAATTTAAATTTGATTGTTGAAAATGATATTTTTTTTATTAAAAGGGCAAACTTCAGATGCAGAGGAATCTTTCTCTTTTTTCTTTAAAAAGGAAAAAATCACATATAGATGATATTTGTCGCTTTAGTGTCCATCGAATGGACATTTGCATTATTTCTCTGAAAATTATTTTAATTAATTTAATGAACGGAGGTTGAGCAGATTTTGTGTTTTAATTTGGATTGATTTGCCTTTTTAGCTCTGACCAAACCAATATTTAGATGATATTTTTCAGAAATGATGTCTTGGGGAGGTAAGGGAAGTGGCGCTTATTTATAGAGTGGGTTTGTTTTTTATAAATAAATGCTGTAATAATGTTAATCATCCAGGAATTAGATGCCATTTTTCTGATGGTAAGATAATTGAATTGAATCGTTTGCTTGATACATTTTCAGTGATAATTTTATTAAAAAAAAAAGATTAGGTTGTAAATCTGGAAATGATGACTCGGGAGAGTGGAGAGTTTGGTTATTTGTGAGAACAACAGTATAGATTTTTTGACATAGTCATAGAGGCAGTTTATTTGAAGATTTGTGGTGTGCCAATGATTTGATTCGTTTTTGCTCTTTCTATTACTGGCCGGTATGTTCTATTCATTCTAATAATGCTCTAATTTGAGTTCCTTTAAGATCACAGTTGACAAAATGGAAACTGAACTGCTTAATGCCATTGTATTATATGCAAGCAGTTTTTCAGTTGTACGGCGTTTTGATGACAAAATTTCATTGTAAGGATGAGGCACGAGTTTACCCGTTATCCTGAGGGGTGGGGTTGAATGTGAGATTTGAGATGCAGATATAGATTTACCTGCGTCACATTGCTTGACATGCTTTTTTGTTTTGCTCTTCTTTGTCAGATTGTGTAATGCATATGTGCATTTTCCTTGAAACTTCTTGTTACTCTATCTGCTATCTCATTGGGTTTCTTTTGTGAAACAGTTGCAATGGGCTTCCTTTGACAGACTAGAGCTTGCCCCCTTATCTTTTAAAAGGGTTCTCTTACTTGGATACTTCAATGGCTTTCAAGTTCTTGATGTCGAAGATGCCTCTAATGTCAGTGAACTTGTTTCAAGGCGTGATGATCCAGCTACATTTTTACAAATGCAACCACTCCCTGAAATGTCTGAGGGTCATGAAGGATTTAGAGCATCACATCCTTTACTTCTGGTTGTTGCTGATGAGTCAAAGGTCTCGGGTTTGATGCTTACCAGAAGAGATGGTTTTGAGGAGCCTAAAAATGGAAATACTCTTCTCTCTCCTACTGTTGTTCGATTCTATTCCCTAAGGTCTCATAATTATGTTCACGTATTGAGATTCCGGTCAACTGTATATATGGTTCGGTGCAGTCCTCGAATAGTTGCTGTGGGGCTTGCAACACAAGTAAGAATTTGCCTTTTGTATTCTTTTCTGAAACTTAGTTTTAGAACTAGATTTTTAACATTTGTCATAATCAAGTCCGACAGATTGAGATATTTTTTATTCCTTGTTTTCATATTTTGGAATGGCTAGTTCATTGAAAAACTCGGAAAAATCAGATTGGATGGTTCCAGGAATGCTTGTGTTTTATAAGAACGTTTTTCATGATAGCTTTTTACTGTAGAACATTTATCATATACTTTTATTTGTCCAATTATTTAGTTGGAGCCAAACGATTTAAACCAGCATTCTTTTATTGGTTGGCAGATATACTGCTTCGATGCTCTCACTCTAGAAAATAAATTTAGTGTCCTCACCTATCCTATCCCTCAAGCAGGAGGCCAAGGAATGTTTGGGATTAGTATAGGATATGGTCCCATGGCAGTGGGTCCCAGGTGGTTAGCTTATGCTTCAAACAATCCATTGCAGTCAAATACATGTCGCCTGAGTCCACACAACCTGACTCCTTCTGGTGTTAGTCCATCAACTTCTCCCACTAGTGGGAGTCTTGTGGCTCGATATGCCATGGAATATAGTAAGCAATTAGCTGCTGGGTTAGTCAATCTGGGTGACATGGGCTACAAAACTTTGTCAAAATACTATCAAGATTTTGTTCCTGACAGTTCTGGTTCTCCTATGTATTCAAATTCAGGCTGGAAAGTTGGTCGGGGTGCATTACATTCTGCAGACACTGATATTGCCGGGATGGTAAGTACTTGATGTATTTGAGAAGCAAACCTTAGGCTTATGTTAGAATGCCTGATAATAATTTACAGGACTAGTGCACGTTAATTCCACCTTGATGTGGAAAGCTACCATTCATATCTTTGCCTATGATGCTTGAACTTTTATGTTAGATGCATGTTTAATTTAAATTTCTCTGAGAGGTATCTGATGAAATAAGGCTGGCATTACATCTTAGAAATACTTATATCAGAGGCATGGAAGTTTGACCTTTTAGTTATCAACTATGAAAATTTCAAGTGTAATTTTAGGGTTTTTCTTTATATGTGGTTTATTGCAGGTGGTTGTCAAAGATTTTGTTTCCAGAGCAGTAGTATCACAGTTCAGGGCCCATAGTAGTCCAATTTCTGCTCTATGCTTTGATCCAAGTGGGACTCTTCTAGTTACAGCCTCAATACATGGGAACAATATAAATATTTTTCGGATCATGCCATCCTCAACAAAAATTGGATCTGGCACTCAAAGCAATGATTGGAGTTCTTCACATGTGCACCTTTATAAGCTCCATCGTGGGATGACATCAGCTGTATGTTACTGCATTCTCCACTCTTTAATTTTTTTTTATATATATATCATCTATATATAATTTCTTTTTTTCTTTTGAAGGTGATCCAAGATATTTGCTTTAGTGCTTTCAGTCAGTGGATTGCCATTGTTTCATCTAGGGGCACTGGCCATATTTTTGTTCTTTCACCGTTTGGTGCTGAGAATGTACTCCAAATCCGGAATTCTCTCGTTGATGGGCCTATCTTATCACCGGTTGTGTCTTTCCCTTGGTGGTCCACTCCATCTTTCTTGAGAAACTATCAAACATTTTCTTTGCCAGCACCACCAACTATTACCCTCTCTGTTGTTAGCAGAATTAAAAGTGTTAACTCTGGATGGCTTAATACAGTTACCAATGCTGCATCCTCTACTGCTGGAAGAACCTCCTTCCCTTCTGGTGCTTTCTCTGCCATTTTTCATAACTCTTTACCTAATGATACACAACGAACTCAGGTAGATGCGAATGTTTTGGAGCACCTACTAGTTTACACTCCTTCTGGGCATGTTGTTCAACATAAGCTACTGCCTTCATTTGGAGGAGAGGCAAGTGAAAGTGCTTCGAGAATTGGACCAGATTCTGCTCTCCAGGTGCCAGAAGAGGGGTTGCGGGTGAAAGTTGAACCTATGCAAGCATGGGATGTATGCAGAAGAACAGATTGGCCAGAAAGAGAGGAATGCGTTTCTGGAATGACTTATGGGAGAAAAGAACCGTTAGAGGTGGCTATGGATGGTTCTGACTCTGAAGAAAATAATGCTGGGCAAAAGGACTTGTCAAAACCCCAAGACCTAGCACACTTGTATCTTTCCAATGCAGAAGTGCAAATAAGCTCTGGAAGGGTACCAATCTGGCAGAATTCTAAGGTAGTTATTGATGATTACTTTGTAATATACTATTGATGGTCACCAGTTTCACTTATGACTCGTATGCGTTTCCTTAGGTATCATTCTATGCAATGAGTCCTGTGCGATTCAATGAGCATAAGTTCACTGCTGATCAGTCTGGTGGAGAAATTGAAATAGAACGGATGCCTGCTCATGAGGTTGAAATTCGACAGAGGGATTTATTACCTATCTTTGAGCATTTTCACAGGATTCAACCTGATTGGAATGACAGGTATTTTCTGCATTCTTTACATTGTGCTGAATGGTACCCACCAAATTAGATTTCCTTGACACAGTTTCCTTTATTCCCTGTTCAGGGGCTTAGCTGCAGAAAGTTATCCAATGTCATCTTCTCATGATGCCAAAGCAAGATTCTCTGAAGTCACTGTTATTTCTCACTCTAAGTTAGTGTCACCTGGCTCGACTGAAAATTCAGATAATGGTATGACAGTGTTTTAAATTTTATATATCATTCAATATACTTCTTGATTCATGCAATTCATTTGATGATTGGAGTTTTAACCAGGGTCATCAAGAAATTCTTACCCGCCGAGCATTCAGTATGGGAAGGATAGTAGTGGGATAGAAGGACAGAGTTCTATTTTGACATCAGATATGCTTAACCAGAGCAGTCTTAGCAAAGATGCTGGTTTAGCTCCTTTTGGTCAATCTAAAATGGGTGTCTGTCACATTGAGGATAATAAATCTAGTAATAGTCCATCATCATTAACAAGTGACTCTCTATCTGGTGGAAGAAACAGTGGTGGAAGCAGTGATGTTTCGAACACAAGTTCTAACCGGTCAGATTTGAGCTTGAACATGTTAGACGAGGGGCCTGTAAATGAATCACCAGATTTTGAGCACTTTTTTCGAGAAGAGTACTGTAAAGTGTTGCCCTCAAGTGCGTGTGTCGAGCCAAGTGAGCTCCCTACTGATGTTGACAGCAACAGTAGTCCTTGTGAGAGAGAAAAATCAGAGGAAGGAGACAATGATGATATGTTCGGGGGAATTTTTTCTTTCTCTGAGGATGGTCAGTGTCTAAAGATGTTATTTGAAGTAGCTTCTTCCATATAACATGCAAACTGTCTTTTATATCGGCTAAAACCTTACTGAAATCACCGTTCCGGTTTTGTGGCAGGTTGAGTTCTATCTTGTGTTCCTTTCCTGATGCGAACGCCATGTTTATTTTTGTCGATGTCAGGTTCAACCGCAGGCTTATAGGGAATAGGCCGGCAAACTAATTGGAAGGGTGGTTTGGTGATTTAAGAAGCTACTGACTGATTGATTCAATTAATATAAAGACTGGCTCATTGTGCCACTAGGGCAACTCTCTGGATTCTACCCACTTAGTGTACATGTTGTAAATTGATATTCTCCTAAATGCAAATTTGCAAGGCATGCTATTTCTGTGTTGTGTAACATTATTCATTCTTCAAATAAAAAGAAAAAGTAATAAAAAAAAGAAAATGAATTTCTGTACAGTTTGTTCTAAATGGTATGAACCAGTCATGCCCTTGCATACATCTTGAATGTGTAGATGATCATACCATATGCCTAGATGGTTTCATATACAAATTGGTATATGAAGTTAACAATTTTTCTTAAATGAGTACTTGAATTTAGAAAAAGTTCTCAAACTAATACTTGTATAGACTTGGTATTTCAATTATGAATATGTTTGGTTGTTAAAATATCATGTCAGCATCATGCATCCATTTGAGAATTTTTTTCAAACTCAGGGTACCAATTTGTATATTAAGCCAAAATATCTAGTTTTTCAAGAACGAGCAAACACTTTGATAACAGACAAAACAAGAAAGCAGAAATGGCAAAACATGAACCATATATATACACATTCTGCACTTTTTTATGAGTACTGTAGAGGGACAAGCTCATCCAAAACATTATTTTCTCTTTGATGACCCTCTCTGTTCTGTTCATTTCCTTCTCTTTTTTTTAACCAAAAACTTTGGATTCCCCCCCCCCCAAAAAAAAACATCCTGCATCTTTGTATTTTTGTGGCCTGCATTGGCAGCTACATTTATGGCATGAAATCTCCCATGGAAATTCAGCCCCCACCACCTAGAGATGCCCTTCCCATCAAAGGGCCTTAGACATGGAGTGGTCCCTTCCATCTCTATAACCAGTCACACTGAGATACTCTTTTTCATCATGCATCATCACCATTTTCTTATACAGGGCAAAGTCTTTAACTTATATACAGATTTTACAGCAAAATTTGGGACTTTGGCAAAATAAGTACTTGGAAAGGGCTTTCACTTAGGCTCCCTGTTACTATGGAGATTGGAGCCATTTCTGGTGTCCAGTCCATATCTTTTTTGTCGTTTTAAGGGGCTTGAATTGTCTTAATCCAACACAACAATAGCCATTGAGGGTCCCCAACAACACATGGCCCTAAAAACCAAACCTAAATTTGCTAACTCATGTAGTGTTCTTAATTAATCTCTTTGACAAGCAATGATTTATGGTTCTGTTGGGTGTACAAAATTATGTTATCAGCTGTTGTCCAATTGGAGAAAATCTTGGAGAAATTGCTGGTCATCTTGGGAAGGTTAGTATCCGAATTTTCTATGTTGGAGTATTTAAACGTTCAATATCCTCCGATTTAGTTTGAGAGATGTATGGAACATTTCAGCATGAAATAATAAATAAAAGGGAAAGCAATTAAAGATAGCATTTGGAAGATTAATTAATCTTGAGAGCAAAGCTAAAAAGCAAAGTTGTAGAGTACATTATAGGGCCAAAATGTACCCCATTGATCACTCTTGGCCAATTAATTTTTCTATTAAACATATTTACCTTTACAGACAAGAACATAGCTTTCAACAACTGTGGCAAGTTAAGATTCTTGAAAAGATTGACAGCATATTACAGGCATAACATGTGAAGGGATAAGAGGAAAAGAGAGGCAAGAAACTTGAAAAGAGTAGTAGGTAAGATAGAAATGGATATGCTTCTGTAATAACAATTATCCTTGATTTCTTAAAAATAAAGATTTGAACTTACATTTTTTTATTGATAAGATAAAATAACAGCATCAGTGACTGCGCCAGCCTTTATTTTGTTGCATAAGAGACAATTTGAGCCAAAAAAAAAAAACTCCCATGCAAAGTTGCAGCATGGTTTTCACACCACTTTCTTTCAAATTTGGCCTGAAAAGTGTGGGGTTTCTTTTCTTTTTCATCCCATGTTATTAGTTATTGCAAGATGGTTAATTGTTTTTTTTTTGGATTCCAATAATGAACAACAAATGAGAAGATTGTGTGAAAAATATTTGTTTCTATTGCTGATGCTACAATTAAACCTTGGACTTTAATGCCAGCTGACAGTGGAATAAATTATCTAGAACTGGAATTGGGGTATTGGCAGTAATGGTAAAGCCATATCCTTTAGGCTGGTTGGCACTTAGCATAGGAAAAAAACAAAATAATAAACAATTGAAGAAAATGATGGGGAGAGAGAGCAATAATTACTGAAAGAAAAAGATGGCAAGGTGAATCAATGGCATCAAGTTTTGGATATTGTGATACCTTATATATATATATATATATATATATATATATATACACTTCAGAGTTTTTCAACTTGCTCATAAATTATGAGGGTAAAATATAGATAAGGAAATGAAGTCATAAACACAAACCCAGAGAAGAAAGGGATAAAAAACAACAGAAAGAGGGAGAGAGAAAGAGGGAAGGTGTTACTTTACATATACTGTAGTTATTATTTATAGTCCACTGTCAAGGGCAAGATTCTTGGACTCCTCACACTATAATATCCATTTAATAACCCCTCACCTTTCCATTTATTTAAAGGCAGAACATGTTATAGTTCTCTATAAGATCTGCAAGTGGGGAAAATATACCTTAAAAGCAAGCTGCAATGGATTTGGCTCAGTTGCAAAGGCAGCTGGTTGACTATAAAACTTCACTCTATCATGAGGTTAGTTTTGTTATACCAGTAGCTCTTAGTTTTGTTCTGTTTTCTTTGGTTTTTGGATATATTAGATGTTTGAGTGATGAGTTCTTGTTCTATGAGTAGGATTTTCTGGATGAACAGTTCACCCAACTTCAAGAACTTCAAGATGAAAACAACCCAGATTTTGTGGTTGAAGTGGTATCTCTTTTCTTTGAAGATTCTGATAGGCTTCTCAATGAACTGACTAAAGCTCTGTGAGGGTTTTCCTTGAATAATTTTTAAACAATTTTCCTTGTAATCTGAACCATCCAAGACTCTATTTTCTGCTATGGTTTACTCTCTACATTTTCTCCATCCATGTCTTAGTGTGGTTTCATTATTGCTTTCTGATCTTAATATATAGAGAGCAGCAGAGCGTAGATTTCAAAAGTGTTGATGCTCATGTTCACCAGTTGAAAGGTAGCAGCTCCAGGTATTTTCCTCCATCTTTTAACCTCAGTTTCTAATTTTAGCTTCAGATGAGAACCTTAGATTGAAACATTTTTTTGCAATGGTTAAAGCCAACTTTGTACCAACGTATGGGAAAGTTTGTCACTGAAAAAATCAGATTCAGTCTGTAAAATTTGTAATGTTCAATAATAATAATCTGTACTTTAAAATTTGTCTTCTGTAGTCATCAATTTTCACCGATTGTAAAGTACGGGTTCCACTACATGTCCCACATGAAGGAATCCTATTAATTGTACAGCTTTTACCTACAAAATGTTCTTTTTTTTCGTGGTAAAATGTTCTTCAAATTAACAGCATTGGTGCTCAGAGAGTTCAGAAAGTCTGCATTGCCTTCCGCAACTACTGCGAAGAGCAGAATGTCGAAGGGTGAGTTTATTTTATGTCTTAGATTAGTACTTTTCATTGAATTTAATGTTAATAGTGATGAGAAGTTTCAAGTTTTGATGTCATACATAGGTGTCTTAAATGTCTGCAACAAGTGAGGCATGAATACTCTCTTGTAAAAACTAAGCTTGAATTTATGTTCCAGGTAATGTAGAGATATCTAACCTTATCGAGTAGCAATTTTCTTTCTATCCAAACATGTTTTAATCCTTTGCTAACTCCAAGGATTGATTTTCCATTTCATTGACTGCAGCTTCAGCAGCAGATATTGTCTGCTGGAGGCTCAATTCCTATGTAACAGTTGGCTTTAAAGAGACATAAATCTGCAGAGAAGAACATGGGACCAAATATGATATTTTTGGCATTGTAGAAAAGTTATTTTCATTATCTTTGTTGTTTTACAATTATTGCAGTTTTAGTAGGGTACCTAAGCTACTGAAGGGTTCTATCTACTTTCGAGCTTAAGCTTGTATCATATTGCCTGTGTACGAGCAATGACAAAGAATGTGAATAAAACCCTTCCAGCTGTTTCCTCTGAAGTGCTTTTTTCTGGTTTTAATCATTGAGTTTCATGCTTCAATCTGTTTAAGAACAATATATGAACAAATGAAACACAAATCTTATCACGAATCCTTAATCCTTTGGACCAATGATCGTGTTTCGAGACCTTAAAATCTATACATCAATGATATCAGAATTGCAGAGGTTTAATGGGATACTTTATGAACCTTCATCTCTGTCACCTTCATTTTAGAGAAAACAGGTGAAAATTTACCAGAAGTTTGGTAAAGGAACCAAAAGGATTGGATTATTAATTAACCAATCAAATTGATTAGTCCAACAACTCAAGAACACTGATTCCTCGTGAGTTTGTTGAAACAACTATTCTTATCAACAACACCAACTAAAACTGTTCTTTATAGAACAAATGCGTTGGCCAAATAAACATTATCACCGACCATTCACTGTTACATGCAGTATATATGATTATAAATTAGTGGTTACTGTTGCACTTTAGGCATTGAAAATGAAGTGGAAACCCCACGTTGTTTGGTTGATTTCTTTCTATGAAGTCTCAAAATGTTTTTATAATCACCAATCAGTACTCATCTCTCTATCACATTCATTGAACATGATTATTTTATAAGGTCAAACTGTGTTTTTTCACATGAGAGGGATGTCCCCCCATTTATTTAGTTTGTTGGTAATCTTGCAAGTAAAGCCAGAATACAAGCTGTAATGACAGAATATCAAATGATTTTCTTTTCATCTTTACATAGTATTTTATGGGAATCGCATTATCATCTTCCAACCAAGTCACCGATCATCTTCTGCAATCTTTTTAATGGTTTCAATTCCATATGAAACATGTCACCGTACCGGTAAGAGCTTGATTAACTTTACAGGTAAGAAATTCGGTTTCTGCAATGTTATCTGCATTCGAGATGTCAAATACGAGCATGTTGTCGTAACCGGTTTTCGTCCGGACACGAAATATTAAATTGGGCGAGGAAATTGATGTGAATAAATAATTTTGAAAATAATTTGAGAGTCGCCATCGGCCTTTTGGGTCAGGTAGGTCGAATACCTAAAAAAATATCTTTTTTTTTTTAAAAAAAAGTTTTAAGAAAACATCAAAAAAAAAATTAAACTGATCTGCGTTATAACCAAAAATTCGTTCTTTTTAGTAATAAAAGGGATTCGTGGTCGGTTACGTTAGGAAGGATTAGCACCCCTACAACGCCCAAAATTGGTACTTTGCAATTATAAATTGTCTCTATTAAAATTTAAAAATTCAAAAATTTATAATTCTATTATTTTCAAAATTATATAAAAAAATATTTATTTATTTAAAAATATCCAAAAAGAACTTCTAGTTGCCTTAAGACAGCTCTTTTCTTTGATATTGATAAATAATATTATTTAATTTTTAAATTTTAAAAATTCAGAATAGGACATCCAGTTGTATTAAGACTGTCCTTTTCTTGATTTATTAAGATAAATATTTAAAAATTACTATTTATTATATATATATTTATGACTATATAAAAATATTTATTCATAAAAATAAAAATATATTAAATAAATATTTAAAAACAATAAAAGAAAAATTATAATAAATGTAAATTACATAAAAATAAAATTAAAAGTCTAATTTATAATTATAAAATTATAGGGATCAAATGTTATTTATCCAAATATTATTTTAATATGAAGGACTAAAATAAAAGAAATTAAAATTCGAAGACCAATTAAGAATATTATAATTTAATTTAGTGACTAAAATGTAAACTTTACAAATAAGGAGGACTGCGGACGGGGTTTAACTATTTCGTAATTACGCGCATAGTCCTTCCCGAAACGACGTCGTTCGGGAAGGACTATAAATGGTCCAAACCGGCTGGCCCGAAGGGCCAGCCATTTCATTTCATTTTTTTTTTCTCTCTCTAGCAGAGAGAGTTTTAAAACTCTCTGCCTTCTCTCTAGCTTCCCTCACCGGAGGGAAGCCGGTCACTGGACGGCAACCGTCTGCCGCCGTGACCATCACCGCCGGCCACCGCATCCGGTGGCCGGAAAAATTTTTCTTTACACTAATATATAGATCGGACCGTCCTAAGGACGGTTCCGGTGTTATTTCTTCCTAAAAGGCTCCCAATCGGAGCAAATCTACAAAAGTACCTTCGTTGTTTCGAAGGTTCCGGTGAGATCTGGTAGTCGGAGCTTCCTCGGTAAGTCTCTTCTTCCTTTTTTTTTTTTTTCTTCTGGTTCTTTGCTGCTGCTGAGATCGTTGGTATTAGTTTGTTTTTTTTTCTTTTCTCTGTTTGTTTTTTCTTTCCGTTCTCTGTTTTTTCTCTCTGTTTTTTGTCTCTTTGCAGGTGGGGTGGTGGCTTTTATAGCCACCACCGTTGTAGCCGTCGGACCGGTTCGAAGAAGGGCTCTCGGTGAGTCACCGGACTACCAGTGGTGACTCACCGAGTAGCCATGGCGTGGACGGCTGGTATGATCTTCTGGAGCCTTCATTCGGGACGTGGCAGCGGCGGAGGCGGCGAGAAGACTGTCGGCAGCCGCGGGAAGCTGGGGCGGCGCCGCGTGGCCCTAGGGTATCAAACCCTAGGGTTTCCTCTCTGAAGCCATGTGGACCGTTGGATCGTGCCAGATCCAACGGTTGTGATGAGGCGGCTGAGGATGATTAGGGTTAGGAAACCCTAACTGGAAACCCAAATATTTAGGGTTTCTGGTTGGATTTGGACCGGTTTCAGTTGGTTTGTAACTGGGCCGGTTGAATTGTAATTGGTTTGTAATTTATATGTATTTAATATATTTAATAATAAAATAATAATAAAAATAAAAATAATAATAATAATAATATTAATAATGATAATAATAATAATAATAATAATAATAATAATAATAATATTAATAATAATAATATTAATAATAATAATATGGATAAAAAATAGTATCTTCAGCTGCCCCTCTTTGCTCATTCTTGTGTTAACAAGAATAGGGAAAAGATGAAAAGATAATAAATTTTTTTATCCATTTGACTTTACTTTGATCATTTTGGAGATATTGAATAAATTCTTCTTTTTCTCCAGATGAGTTCTTCTCATTACGAACTTTCTGCTGGGGATGATGTTCCATCAAATGATGAATTCAAGCAAAAGATTGAACAAGTTCTTCTCATTATGAACTTCTTCTTCCTTCTTCAGATGACGAGTTCTTCTCATTATGAACTCTTTCTTTGGAAATGATGATCCATCAAATTGATGAATTCAAGCAAAAGGTTGAACAAGTTCTTCTCATTATGAACTTCTTCTTCCTTCTTCAGATGACGAGTTCTTCTCATTATGAACTCTTCCTCTGGAAATGATGATCCATCAAATTGATGAATTCAAGCAAAAGGTTGAACAAGTTCTTCTCATTATGAACTCTTCTTCCTTCTTCAGATGACGAGTTCTTCTCATTATGAACTCTTTCTCTGGAAATGATGATCCATCAAGTGATGAATTCAAGCAAAAGGTTGAACAAGTTCTTCTCATTATGAACTTCTTCTTCCTTCTTCAGATGACGAGTTATTCTCATTATGAACTCTTTCTCTGGAAATGATGATCCATCAAATTGATGAATTCAAGCAAAAGGTTGAACAAGTTCTTCTCATTATGAACTCTTCTTCCTTCTTCAGATGACGAGTTCTTCTCATTATGAACTCTTTCTCTGGAAATGATGATCCATCAAGTGATGAATTCAAGCAAAAGGTTGAACAAGTTCTTCTCATTATGAACTTCTTCTTCCTTCTTCAGATGACGAGTTCTTCTCATTATGAACTCTTCCTCTGGAAATGATGATCCATCAAATGATGAATTCAAGCAAAAGGTTGAACAAGTTCTTCTCATTATGAACTCTTCTTCCTTCTTCAGATGACGAGTTCTTCTCATTATGAACTCTTTCTCTGGAAATGATGATCCATCAAGTGATGAATTCAAGCAAAAGGTTGAACAAGTTCTTCTCATTATGAACTTCTTCTTCCTTCTTCAGATGACGAGTTCTTCTCATTATGAACTCTTTCTCTGGAAATGATGATCCATCAAATTGATGAATTCAAGCAAAAGGTTGAACAAGTTCTTCTCATTATGAACTCTTCTTCCTTCTTCAGATGACGAGTTCTTCTCATTATGAACTCTTTCTCTGGAAATGATGATCCATCAAGTGATGAATTCAAGCAAAAGGTTGAACAAGTTCTTCTCATTATGAACTTCTTCTTCCTTCTTCAGATGACGAGTTCTTCTCATTATGAACTCTTCCTCTGGAAATGATGATCCATCAAATGATGAATTTAAGCAAAAGGTTGAACAAATTCTTTTCATTATGAATTTCTTCTTCTTTCTTCAGATGAGTTCTTCTCATTATGAACTTTTCCTCTGGGGATGAATGATCCATCAAGTGGATTTGAAATCTTTGCTAAAATCTTTGAAATTTCTGTTAACAATTTAACAAGAATAAAAATGAATGAAAATGCATCTATTTTTGTAAACACCTAAAATATGATGCATGAATGTTAAGTTATTTGATTTCAGATTGGTGAACTGAATATTTCTTCAGTTGTAGAAACTCTATAATCTTTCTTCTTCAAATCAGAGAATCTATCCTCTTTGACAAATGTAGAGGTAGATATAATGTCATAAAAATTTCTTGAGAATAAAACTTAATTGTGTAGGCTCTTGAAAAACTTGCATTCAAGCAACATGTTGATTCTGATAACAGCTCATCTGATTATGAAATGGCCTTTCAAGATGATTTCACAGATATCGATAGTTCTTCTAAAAAAATCTTGACTTCTGATTCTGATGAGGAGAATAAACTGTTATACTTGACAAAAATGGGATTCTCAAAGGCTGAAGCTTCAATAGCCATGTAGAAATGTGGTCCAAACTCATCAATTGTAAAATTGATAAATTTTATATGTGCTGCTCAAATGACTAAGGCTGCTGATGCACTTCTTCTAGTAAAAGATAACTCAAAGAACACTTCCAGAAGATGTTATTGGCAAATTTATCTTTTAAATTCAATACTTGATTTTGTCCAATCAGATCAGATAACTCAAAGAACACTTCCAGAAGATGCTATGTTCTGTCCAACCAGATTAAATAACTCAAAGAACACTTCCAGAAGATGTTATGTTCTGTCCAACCAGATTAGATAACTCAAAGAACACTTCCAGAAGATGCTATGTTCTGATCAACCAGATCAGATAACTCAAAGAACATTTCCAGAAGATGCTATGTTCTGTCCAACCAGATCAGATAACTCAAAGAACACTTCCAGAAGATGCTATGTTCTGTTCAACCAGATCAGATAACTCAAAGAACATTTCCAGAAGATGCTATGTTCTGTCCAACCAGATCAGATAACTCAAAGAACATTTCCAGAAGATGCTATGTTCTGTCCAACCAGATTAGATAACTTAAAGAACACTTCCAGAAGATGCTATGTTCTGATCAACCAGATCAGATAACTCAAAGAACACTTCCAGAAGATGCTATAAGCACATTCAGTTGTTCCATTTAATGTTTGGACTGGGATATTACAGTACTTATTCGATGTAAAGCCAGAATTTGTAGATTCGAATCATTTTCCTGCTGTCATACTGAAAATAAGCTATATTCATAATCTGCCAATTAAGAACAGAGTTTCTCTTATTCTGCTTCCTCCATGTGCTGATGCTTTTCCCTTGACAAAGAAATGATAGTCTTCATAGGATCCAAGAACAAAATTGAACTGCTTACAAACATGTACAAGAAGTTCCAGATTGACAGAAAGGATCTGTAAGGCTCTTGAAGCTATGACAATAAGCCACCTTCGAGTATTCAGAAGTATGTTCTTGATGAGTACTGAAAATGGAATCTAGTATGGGTTGGAAGGAATAAAGTTACTCCATTTGAACCTGATGAGGTGGAAATGCTTCTAGGTTTCCTTAAAAACCATATACAAGGATCTGTATAGAAACATGTTTCCCATTGATATCAATGTCTTGTTTCTTTTTGTTGGAATCAATGCTACAAAGGTTGCCTTTTATTGTCTTAGTATATCTTTTCAAACAGATGTGCAAGAACTGAATGGTGATCGGTTGGAGCAATTGATGAGTAGATTTGGCGGATTCGACCTCGTTGTCGGTAGCACCACTTATAACAATCTTGATGTTCATGGCTTTAAGCTAGTGATGATTTGCTTACTTTGTATTCCATGTATTCAAAAATATTAACATAAAGTGATATTCAGAAATCTTTAAATTATTTCAAAATTATGTTAATTCAATAGAAAAGAATAAATTGAATTTCCAAAAATAAATTGAATCTCCAATAAATTGAACTTGAAATAGATATAATTGTATTCAAAGTTATGGCAATCATAAGAATAATAAAAATTCAAATGTCTCCACAAATTATAAGCATAAATATTTCTAAATTAATCAAGTTGACACAACTTAGAGTAATGATGTAAGCTTTTGTCTGGAAGATCTCAAACGTTGTTAAAATGCTTGTAGATGTGAAGCTTCTTCCAAACTATCAAAATCTTAAGAGAGTTCAATTGCCAGATGCCTAATATCAACCTGCATTTGAGCCGCCTTTTCAGGTTTTCAACTCAAATCCTTCCTTTGGTTACAAGATGCCCTTTGCAGGTTTTCACCTTGACCCTTTTCTTTTTCTATTTTTTTTCTTCTTCTTTTTTTTCTTTTCTTTTTTTTTTCTTATTTTCTTATTCTTTTTCTCTTCTTCTTTCTTTTCTTTAAGCATAATATTTCTTGACAGAATCCGAGTTTATTGGATTTTTCAAAATTTTTCCATCCATTTCTGCCAAGATCAACGCTCCTCCGGAAAAGGCCTTTTTCACAACGTATGGCCCTTCCCAATTAGGCATCCATTTCCCACGGAAATCTTTATGTATAGGCAAGATCTTTTTTAATACTAGATCACCCTCTTGGAATTCTCTTGGATGTACTTTCTTATCATGAGACTTCATCATCCGTTTCTGATACATCTGTCCATGGCAAATAGCTTTCAATCTTTTCTCCTCAATAAGGTTCAATTGATCAACTCTAGCTTGGATCCATTCAGATTCATCCAATTTTGTTTCTCTCAATATTCGGAGCGATGGAATCTCAACTTCAATTGGTAAGACTGCTTCCATCCCGTAGACTAAAGAAAAAGGCGTTGCCCCAGTAGATGTTCGAACAGTAGTTCGGTATGCGTATAGAGCAAAAGGTAACTTCTCATGCCAATCTTTGTAAGTTTCAGTAGTCTTCGTAATGATTCTCTTGATGTTCTTATTTGCTGCTTCAACTGCCCCATTCATCTTTGGACGATATGCCACTGAGTTTGCATGTTTGATCTTGAACTGTGTACAAAGTTCGGTCATCATTTTGTTGTTCAGGTTCAGAGCATTATCTGTAATGATCCTTTCTGGTAGACCATACCGGCAAATTATCTCTTTCTTTATGAATTTACAAACTGTGGACCTCTTAATATTGGTATATGAAGCAGCTTCAACCCATTTGGTAAAATAATCAATTGCCACAAGGATGAAACAATGTCCATTCGATGCTTTTGGTGTGATTGCCCCAATGACATCTATTCCCCACATAGAAAATGGCCAGGGTGCTGTCATTACATGTAAAGGAGATGGGGGTACATGAATCTTGTCTGCATATATCTGGCATTTATGACATTTTCTTGCATAATCAATGCAATCTGTGTACATGGTAGCCCAATAGTATCCATATCTCATTATCTTTCTGGCCATAGAAAGACCATTTGCATGTGTTCCACATATTCCACTATGTACTTCTTTAATGACGTTTCGAGCTTCACTGGTATTTAAACATCTCAACAGCATTTGATCACTGCTTCTTCTATACATAATGTCTCCATCAAGAAAATATCCAGCAGCCATTCTTCTCAAAGTTCTTTTATCAATTTCTGATGCATTTGGTGGATAACTTTGATTTTTGATATATTGCAGGATATCATGATACCATGGTTTACCATCTACCTCTTCTTCCACACTATAACAATGTGCAGGAATTTCATACACTTGCATTTTGATTGGCATCATATCAACTTTCTTATTTGCCTGAAACATAGCAGCTAATGTAGCCAAAGCATCTGCCATTTGATTTTCTTCTCGAGGGAGATAATTGAAGGTAACTCTCTCAAATTCTTTCACTAATTCGAGTGTAAAATTTCGGTATTCCAATAATTTGGGATCTTTTGTTTCCCATTCTCCTCGCAGTTGATACACCACTAACGATGAATCTCCATATATCTTGAGAAATTTGATTTTTCTTTCTATAGCTGCTTTCAATCCCATGACACAAGCTTCATATTCCGCCATATTATTGGTGCAAAAGAACTCCAATCTACTTGTAAAGGGATAATAAACATTTTCTGGAGAAATTAACACTGCCCCGATTCCTCGTCCCAAAGCATTAGATGCTCCGTCAAAATAAAGTTTCCAAGTTGCAAATTCATCATTTGTTCTGACTTTTTCATTCATGGATATGCACAATAAATCTTCATCTGGAAAATTGAAGTTCAAAGGCTGATAATCATTTGATACACGACTGGCCAAAAAATCAGCTATGACACTTCCTTTTATCGCTTTTTGGTTGACATAGATAATATCAAACTCAGATAATAACATCTGCCATCTAGCCATTCTGCCTGTCAAAGCTGGTGATTCCATTAAGAACTTTAAAGGATCAAGTTTGGATATCAACCAAGTAGTATGGTATAACATATATTGTCTGAGTCTTCGAGTAGTCCACACCAAAGCACAACATAATTTTTGTATTGGTGGATATCGAACTTCACAATCAGTAAATTTCTTGCTCAGATAATAAATAGCTTTTTCTTTTCTTCCTGATTTATCATGCTGTCCTAGTACACATCCCATCGAATTTTCGAAGACCGTCAAGTAAAGAATTAATGGTCTATCAGGTATTGGTGATACTAAAATGGGGGGCATTGGATAAATATTTCTTAATAATATCCAAAGTTTCTTGACATTCTTCATTCCAGACTTCAGGATTGTTCTTTCGAAGTAATTTGAACACTGGATCACATTTGTCAGTTAATTGAGAAATGAACCGAGATATATAATTTAATCTCCCCAAAAAGCCTCGAACTTCTTTTTTTGTATTGGGTGGTGGAAGATCTTGAATTGCTTTGACTTTATCCGGATCAATCTCAATTCCTTTTTTGCTGACCACAAATCCCAAGAGTTTTCCAGAAGTTACCCCAAAAAATGCATTTAGCGGGGTTAAGCTTTAATTGATATCTCCTCAACCTCTGGAAAAGCTTTCTCAGATTTTGAATATGTTCTTCTTCAGTTCGGGATTTGGCAATCATGTCATCTACATATACTTCAATCTCTTTGTGCATCATGTCATGAAACAAAGTTACCATGGCTCTTTGATATGTTGCCCCTGCATTTTTCAATCCAAATGGCATCACTTTATAACAGAATGTGCCCCACATGGTTATAAATGTTGTTTTCTCCATGTCTTCAGGATTCATTTTTATCTGATTATATCCTGAAAAGCCATCCATAAATGAAAACCATGCATGCCCTGCAGTATTGTCCACCAATGTGTCTATGTGGGGTAATGGAAAACTATCTTTCGGACTAGCTTTGTTGAGATCTCTGTAATCCACGCACATTCGAACTTTTCCATTTTTATTAGGTACGGGAACAATGTTGGCTACCCATTCTGGGTATTTAGATGCCTTTAGGAAACCTGCATTGATTTGTTTCATCACTTCTTCTTTAATTTGCAACAACATTTCTGGCCTCATTCTTCTGAGCTTTTGTTGGACTGGTTTATATTCTGGATTGATTGGAAGCTTATGTATCACTATATCTGTGCTCAAACCAGGCATATCTTGATAAGACCAGGCAAATATATCTTTGAACTCTTGAAGGAGATTTATCAATTCTTGTTTTATATGGACTGTCAGAGTGGTACCAATTTTCACCTCTTTTCTTTTCTTCATCTGTTCCCAAATTCACAGTCTCAACCTCTTCCTTGTGTGGTAGAATTTGTTTGTCCTCTTTTTCTACCAATCTTAATAGTTCAGTAGGAACATCACATTCCAGTTCATCTTCACAACCATTGATTTCTTCCAGACATATAGGCTGCTCTAAATTTATCACTGGATTAAATCTAGGAATAAACATGCTATTAACACGGTGACACCTGCAAATTTAAGTCGGAACATTTCCGAAAGAATATAGTAAATTTATGAAAATAAATAAATGTAAAAATGTAAGAAAATGTAAAGAATGATTGCCATCTGAAAATTTTAAAGAAAATTTCTTATATTTAACATAATTTCTTTTACAAGATAACAAAAAGTTTTCATATTTTTGAGCTAAACATAAAGATTAGTTCTGAATATTACTCTGTATTAATATTAAAAACTATAGGAAGATCTTCAGTGGTCCAATTGGTGAGTGTTTCTCCAGGAAGGCATGGTCGAATCATATCCAAGTACTTGCCAGTCTTGTTGTTATTCGTGATCATGTTGATAAATAATCCATTCATAGCTTCTTTAACTATGTCTTGATCTTTCGTCAACTTTTCTTCTTTAAAGGCTTCAACAAGCTGCTGTTCCACATTAATTGTTCCCCCCTGATCTGAATGTTGTCCTCAACTGTGGGAAAGACATGTGTTTCCAAAGGATTTCTCCTCCTTTCAATTTTGTCTTTCTGTCTTCACATCTTCTTTTCATCTCTTTGTTCCTTTGCTGAAAATTGGGCTTAAACCCTAGCCCAAAACGGTCTTTTTTCATTTTTATACTGACAGGAACTGAAATCCCTTGAAGATTCTTTCCTAGACCTCTCCCAGTTTTAGCTCCGATGCCTAAAGTTTGTTGTACCGTCATCTTGGTGCAATCAGACAATCTGGGATATGGAATTTTCCTTCCTTCTGCAACAAAGGTTGTATTTACAAATTCAAGAGCTCGAAAAGAGCATTCAAGAGCCTCATCATTGGTGTCGATATATGGAACATCGCTTGTTACAGATGCAATGATTTCTTCTTCAGCATTGACGCATATTAGTTGTCCATCAATAACAAATTTCAATTTCTGATGTAATGAAGAAGGAACGGCTCCTGCTGAGTGAATCCATGGCCTCCCTAAGAGACAATTATATGTGGGGTGGATGTCCATCACCACAAAATCAATATTGTACACGACTGGGCCAATTAACAATGGTATTTCCATTTTCCCAAGCACTTCTTTTTGAGTACCATCAAATGCTCGTACCACATTCTGATAACTCTTCATGTGTGATTGATCCAGAGGCATTCTTTGAAGTGTAACTAGAGGCATCAAGTTGAGAGCAGATCCATTGTCAATCAATACTCCTGGCAATACATGACCATGACAGTGTGTCGTGATGTTCAAAGCTCTTACTGACCCCATTCCGCCTTCCGGTATTTCATCATCTGTGAACGTTATGTAATTGTCAGCGGCTATATGTCCCACAATTCTGTCAAGTTTATTGAGGGATATATCTTCGGGGATAAATGTTTGATTGAGAATTTTCATCAAAGCATTCCTATGCGCTTCTGAATTCATCAATAGATCAAGAATAGAAATTCTCGCTTGTTGTTTGTGTAGTTGTTCAACCACACTATACTCACTATGTTTCAAGAATTTCAAAAATTCTTGAGCTTGCTTTTCTGTCACAGGTTCATTGAATGCTGGAAGGGATTCATCTTCAAATACCTTCTGAGGTATTGCCATGGCTTTTCCTTTTGCTTTCACTTGTTCTGAAGCATTGGATGTTTCGGGAGAGTAACATCTCCCACTTCTTGTAAAGAAACCGACCTCGCTCACTGCTTCAGATGCCGATGTTGTACTCAGACTTTGTGTTTTCTCTTCTGTTTTATTTAGAGAATCAGATCCTCCTACCATTGAAACATTGGTAGTATAATTCCAAGGTACCCTGCGGGTATCTTTGTATGGAAATAGTAGAGGAGTGGTAATAATTACTTTTGGCCTTATTGGTGCCGGAATCGTCGTAGATGATTTCACATTAATGATCACAGGATCACTTATTCTTTGACTTGGTTTAGAATCCTCTGATGAGCAAACATCATCTTCTTTTTTCCCGGGTTTTTCTTCAAAGAATTCTATTTCTCTGTTGTTCATCAATTTTTGCACCAAGTTTCTAAACTCAGGACATAATTGAATTTTATGCCCTTTCTCCTGATGATATTCACAATAATTCTTGCCTTCATTCTGCTTTGGCCTGAATTGTTGTGGAATTATACCGGCTAAAGAAAGCTGTTGGAATATCCAAACAAATGGAGATTTAATTTCAGAAATGTCAGTCTTTGCTTTCTTTCTGTCCTCTTCCTGAATTGCATTCACGTTTTTATCTCCATGATTTGGCAATGGATGACTTGATGCGGATGGTGTATTAAATTCCAACTTCCCAGTGTTGATCAAATTTTGAACCACCCTTTTGAATGCTAGACAGTTTTCAATAGAATGTCCTGCAATTCCTTCATGGTAAACACAGTGTGCCTTTGTATCATACCAAGGAGGGAATGGTGGTTGCATGGGAACCAAAGGGTAGGGCCGTATAACATCTGCTTTTAACAGCGAATCATAGACCTCTGCATATGGTACTGGTAAAGGTGTAAAAGAAAACCTTTCGTTTTCTTTTCGAGATCCTCTGGACTCTGCTCGATTAGTGTTTGTTTCCTCTTTCTTAACCCTTGGCTGGGTTATTGTAACACTTTTCGATGAATCCTTGCTGTAAGAGTTTGCATTGTTGACTTCATTCTCCTTTTTCCGGTACGTAGGTCTTTTGGAACTAGACCCATCATTTGATTCAATCTTGCCACTTTTCAAGACATTTTCAATTAATTCTCCAGAAATGACCAAATCTGCAAAATTTCTTGTTGCATTCCCCATTAAATGGTTTAAATAAGGGGCCTTCAATGTATGGACAAACATTATTGTGGCCTCTTTTTCTGACAAAAGTGGTTGAACTTGGGCTGCAGTGTCACGCCATCTCTGGGCATACTGTCTGAATGTTTCATTATTCTTTTTCTCCAAATTCTGGAGAGTCCATCTATCAGGGACCATGTCTGTCACATGGCGGTACTGCTCTAAAAATGCTTTAGCCAAATCTTTCCAGGATCTAATGTTGGCTTTGGTCAATTGAGTATACCATTTTAAAGCCGGTCCTGTCAAACTATCCTGGAAGCAATGAATTAACAATTTTTTGTCCTTCACATATCCTACCATTCTTCGACAAAACATAGTAATGTGGGATGAAGGGCATGTAGTACCGTTATATTTATCAAATTCGGGAGCTTTGAACTTGATAGGGAGGATTAGGTCTGGAACCAAACTCAATTCACTAGCATCAAACCCATAGAATGATTCAGTTATTTCCACGGATTTCATTCGTTCTTCTAAGCTCTTGATCTGTCTGGTCAGCTCTTCATTTACTTTTTGTTTCTCATTCAGCTCATTTAAATCTGGGATCAACTGATCAGTATTAAGATCCCCTACTTTCACATCTGATATAAGCGGATTTTTGCTTGAAGATGCTGGATCCACTTGTTGATCTTCATGTGGTTTAGCTTCTTGTAATGCAGATGTACGAGCATTGATTTGTATAGGGGTAATACCAGAGTGATAAATTGGTTCTGGTGAAAAACCTAGAGGATATATGGGTTCTTGGTCGAAAGATACAGGATTTTCATGCATTTTTCCACTGATAGCCTGCCTTTTAAACATGTCCTCTATCTTCTTCATCATACTGTCTTGTGAATTTGCAATGCTGGCTTCAATTTTTTCCAACTTCATTCTCATTTCTTCTTGTTCTTTATGATGCTGTTCCTCAATACGCTGTATTTTATCCTCCATAATTCTTTTAGTAGCTTGTCTAGTACCGTAGTGATGTAGTATTTCTCTTTTGGCCAGAGTAACTTCGATTGAAAAATCTCTTAATATTATTTTTCAAATTTTAATTAATGAATTTTAACTTAATAAATAATAATTCATAGCGAAAATTGTGAAATGAATGATGAATGTATGCAAAATGCATGTATGTAAAAACATTGATCCCAAAAAGTTAACTGTCATAGAACAACTTTCATCGGCATACAAAAGTTTCTTTATAATAGTTCATAACTACAGATAAGGCGTAGCTTTCCTATTAAGCTCTATAATTTCTTTCATTAACCATGACACCTTCTTTCCACATCTAGAAACTGGATCAACTTGATGCTCAATTATTTTGGCTTCAACAGCTAGTTCCCCAACATATCTGGCAACTTCGCTCATTTGTACCATGGCCTCGAACACCATATTGCTTCTTTCTTCACTTCTTTCGACATAGAACTCAGTTGACTTTTGCCATCGTTCAGTTGTTCCTTCAAGAGTTTGCTCTAACTCAGTGATTCTGACTTGGCAATTGTGCAGAATTTTTTCAAGATCTCTAATGCGTCTTCGCAGTGAAGCATTTTCCTCATTACTTTCCTTGAGATCATTAGGTCCTAGACGAACCTTTTCTTGAAACAATGATTCTTCAAGTTGTAAAATGTAAGTATTAAACTCTGAGTTTTTGTTTCTAGACTGATCCAAATCCTCTTCCAGTTTTGTTCGTGCTTCTTGCGTTCTTTGATTAAGCTTCTGGATTTGAATATCTTTATTTCTGCATCTCTGCATCCAATTGCTAGCCACCTCCTGCTCTACCTCAAGTCTGGTGTTGAAATTTTTTCTTTCTATCTCCCATTTTTCTTTTTCAACATTGGATTCTTCCATCTTTTGGCCTCTGACTTCAAGCTCAGCAATCAACTGGTTCATTTCAGATTCAAATCCCTTGAACATGATACTTTTCTCGCTTTCAAATTTAACAAAGATGTCATTCTTCATCTCTTCTAAATATTTGGCTCGATCTCTTTCTCTTTGCATTTCATTCATGATCTCACGGTGTTCAGCCTTGTATTTTATAATTCGCTCTCTTCTGTCAACCTCGAAATCTTCTATTTTTTGCTTTCCTTTTTCCAGGCTTTTGAGTAGACGGCAATTTTTTCCTTTCAGATCTTCAACTCGTCTTTTCTCAATGTTCAATTCTCTGGTCATCTGTACCGTTGATTGGCTGGGTCCTGATGCTTTTCGGGATTTGTATAACTCCTGGTAATCTTTCTGTAAGGCTCTGTACTCATCCTCACCTTTTTCTTTATCTTTTCTCAACATTGCACATTGTGATGAATGAAAGTCAATGTCAACCCCCAACATAGCTTTATCTTGTCTCATTTGCTCTAATTCTTTCGACCAGCCATCTCTTTCTGCTTCAAACTCAGCTCTCAAGATTTCAATCTCTGATGGAACCACCTTAATGCGATCTTCCATAGAGATATCCTCATTTTGATCTGGTAGAGGAATATTTTCGTTTTTTCTGACAGATCTCCAATCTTCATAATCAGGAGTTAGCATTTCTTTTGCTGCTTTAGCTCGAATACAAAAAGTTGTTTTCCAAGCTGTAACGGCTTCCATGATACTTCTTTTATAATTTTTGCTGTGGAATGCGAACTCAGACGACTGTAGTCCAGCAGTGACAGGTACAAATTGACGACCTTCATACTGTCTTATAACCAGAAGTGGTGCATATCCAATTCCTCCCCATAATCCGAGCAGCATTATCCAGTTGTAATCACCACACCTGTAAAGGAATTCCCTTTGGATTTGCCACGGGGCGCGCCAAACAACGTCATTGCTTTGCAGATTTCGAAAGGCATTAATCCACATATCTTTCTTAATTTCTTTCGGCCATTCCTGCTCTAGAAATTCTTTTAATGGTGAATAATCCGTATTAAAGCGTCGGTATGAAACCTTTTCTGTTCTCCAGAAATGACTACGGATCCAAACATATAACAACTGAGTACACCCTGAGAATCGTCCACCTCCTAGCCTTCTGCAAGCATTTAACGATCTGAAGGTTTCTGCTAGGATTGCAGAAACAGGATTAATCTTCTTCGGTAGCTGTTCAAACAAGTCTACCACTGCAGCTTCAATATATCCCAATACTTTTGGGAAGATGACCATGCCATATATACCCAGAGCAAATAGATCGAATCGTACTTTAATATCTGGATGGCTCTGAATAAGTTCTCGGATGTTGGTCCAAGCAATGCCTTCGCTTTCGCCTTTTTGTTTTGTACGGGCCGCTACCCATTCTTCTCGTACCCCGGCAATCTTTGCTAATTTAACTCGAAAGGGTTGATTTTTAATTGACTTTGAATATATTCGATTCTCCAAAGCACCTTCAATATGTAGCAAAGTTGTGTATTCTTCAATAGTAGGGACCAAATCCTCTTTATTGAGAGTGAAGCAATTGTACCCTGGATTCCAGAATTGAACTAGGGCTCGGAGTAATTCATCATCAACTTCCACATAGAGCAGATATGGGATGTCTCCGTAAGTCTGATAAAACTGCAATTTTTTGTTTGAATCCCAACTTTCCCAAATGCTTCGCAAATCTTGCATATCATTTCTTTTTAGTGAAACTGAAGCATAACTGGCCAAGTCAGATACATAATCATCCTGCAGACTGTCTCCTTCTTGTCTTTGTAAATCTTCAGCCCACTGTCTTACTTCTGAGTTTAGAATTACTTGACTTGAACACTTTTTATCCATAGATGAAGGCTTTCCAATGAGACAATTAACACAAGGATCAATGTCTTTTATCCTGTATGATGCGATGCAAGCAGAAAAATAAAGAACACACAAAAAAGAAAATAAATTAGTTTACATAAAAAATTCAATAATAACATTTATTTAATTTAAACATGCTTTTCTAAATTTAAATAATTTAAATAAACATGTAATTTAAACAATAAATAAATTAACAGGAAAGACAGAATTCATTTCTCCTGTGTGTACACCTATTTTGGACAAAATTTCGGCATGACTTCGGATTGGAAGAGTTTTTAAGGTTTTTTTATATGCAGGGTTTCAGATCTAAGAATAAAGGTACCCGAATTGTCCTTGTTAGTGCCCCCTTGGGTTGCTAACCCCCAATCCTAGTCCATCACAGACTAAAGTGGATCGAGTTCAATTCGAGGGGATACATTTCTCTATGCCTGACACGAAGAATAAATTCTCACGAAGACATAGAGCATATGAACCCCGGAAGTTACTTGCTAGGTCTGACACGGAGAATAAATTCTCACGAAGACGTCGCTTTCACTCCCACTTAAAAGGGACAACTCAATTATAGAGCTTTATGTTATGCAATGCAAGTGTTGTGTGTGAGGAGAAATGTTCAAACTTTTGACAGAAAAATAAATACTGAAATAAATAAAATACTTGCAAATAACATATAAATATTATAAAAATAATAAATAAATAAATAAAAAAAAGAATTAAATATATAAATTTTTAATTTTTGACTAATAGAGACAATTTATAATTGTTTTTTTAAAAGTTTGACCAGTTCCCCAGCAGAGTCGCCAAGCTGTCGTAACCGGTTTTCGTCCGGGCACGAAATATTAAATTGGGCGAGGAAATTGATGTGAATAAATAATTTTGAAAATAATTTGAGAGTCGCCATCGGCCTTTTGGGTCAGGTAGGTCGAATACCTAAAAAAATATCTTTTTTTTTTTTAAAAAAAAGTTTTAAGAAAACATCAAAAAAAAATTAAACTGATCTGCGTTTATAACCAAAAATTCGTTCTTTTTAGTAATAAAAAGGGATTCGTGGTCGGTTACGTTTAGGAAAGGATTAGCACCCCTACAACGCCCAAAATTGGTACTTTGCAATTATAAATTGTCTCTATTATTAAAATTTAAAAATTCAAAAATTTATAATTCTATTATTTTCAAAATTATATAAAAAAATATTTATTTATTTAAAAATATCCAAAAAGAACTTCTAGTTGCCTTAAGACAGCTCTTTTCTTTGATATTGATAAATAATATTATTTAATTTTTAAATTTTAAAAATTCAGAATAGGACATCCAGTTGTATTAAGACTGTCATTTTCTTTGATTTATTAAGATAAATATTTAAAAATTACTATTTATTATATATATATTTATGACTATATAAAAATATTTATTCATAAAAATAAAAATACTATTAAAATAATATATTTAAAAACAATAAAAGAAAACATATATAATAAATGACTAAATTACAGTAAAAATAAAATTAAAAGTCTAATTTATAATTAATCAAAATTATAGGGATCAAATATGTTATTTATCCTAAATATATTATTTTAATATGAAGGACTAAAATAAAAGAAATTAAAATTCGAAGACCAAATTAAGAATATTATAAATTTAATTTAGTGACTAAAATGTAAACTTTACAAATAAGGAGGACTGCGGACGGGGTTTAACTATTTCGTAATTACGCGCATAGTCCTTCCCGAAACGACGTCGTTCGGGAAGGACTATAAATGGTCCAAACCGGCTGGCCCGAAGGGCCAGCCATTTCATTTCTTTTTTTTTTCTCTCTCTAGCAGAGAGAGTTTTAAAACTCTCTGCCTTCTCTCTAGCTTCCCTCACCGGAGGGAAGCCGGTCACCGGACGGCAACCGTCTGCCGCCGTGACCATCACCGCCGGCCACCGCATCCGGTGGCCGAAATTTTTTTTCTTTACACTAATATATAGATCGGACCGTCCTAAGGACGGTTCCGGTGTTATTTCTTCCTAAAAGGCTCCCAATCGGAGCAAATCTACAAAAGTACCTTCGTTGTTTCGAATGTTCCGGTGAGATCTGGTAGTCGGAGCTTCCTCGGTAAGTCTCTTCTTCCTTTTTTTTTTTTTTTCTTCTGGTTCTTTGCTGCTGCTGAGATCGTTGGTATTAGTTTGTTTTTTTTTCTTTTCTCTGTTTGTTTTTTCTTTTCCGTTCTCTATTTTTTCTCTCTGTTTTTCTGTCTGGGGTTCCTTTCGCAGGTGGGGTGGTGGCTTTTATAGCCACCACCGTTGTAGCCGTCGGACCGGTCCGAAGAAGGGCTCTCGGTGAGTCACCGGACTACCAGTGGTGACTCACCGAGTAGCCATGGCGTGGACGGCTGGTATGATCTTCTGGAGCCTTCATTCGGGACGTGGCAGCGGCGGAGGCGGCGAGAAGACTGTCGGCAGCCGCGTGGAAGCTGGGGCGGCGCCGCGTGGCCCTAGGGTATCAAACCCTAGGGTTCCTCTCTGGAGCCATGTGGACCGTTGGATCGTGCCAGATCCAACGGTTGTGATGAGGCGGCTGAGGATGATTAGGGTTAGGAAACCCTAACTGGAAACCCAAATATTTAGGGTTTCTGGTTGGATTTGGACCGGTTTCAGTTGGTTTGTAACTGGGCCGGTTGAATTGTAATTGGTTTGTAATTTATATGTATTTAATATATTTAATAATAAAATAATAATAAAAATAAAAATAATAATAATAATATTAATAATGATAATAATAATAATAATAATAATAATAATAATAATAATAATAATATTAATAATAATAATATGGATAAAAAATAGTATCTTCACATGTCACTGTTCGAGCATGCTCATATGTTATTTCATATATATATATATAACCTTCCAGCTGGGGGTGACACCACTTTATGTTGTATAAAACTAATATTTTAAGTAATAGAAAGGACAGAGGAATCCTAGTGCAGTGCTTACATATAGCATTGTTCATGCACTGTCATGGTGTCATAGTTGTTAAGCTATACAACTAATCCGACATTGAAACTTGAAAGGCATCATTCGGTAGATTTATGTTGAAGAACCAGGGAGCATGATTCGGTACTCGTCTCAATCATCACACGAGAGCATGATGCTAAGTGCAAAGAGCTGAAATGTGAACCAACAGACAGACCTGATAATATTAGATATATACTTGATAGGAAAGATGAGGTCATATATGCTGACGCAAGGATTTCAGAACTGTGTTCGCCATGAGATATTGTTCTTTTGGAGGTAAAGACCGCCATTACGGTTAGTCACAGTCCGATCCTTGGCTAGTCAATGTGGAGACAATAAGTGGCATACATTCTGAATAAAAATCAAATGATTAATTGCAATCTGGTAATCTCATTAATGCTTCCCAGTATAGCATATTGTCAGTGATCACCTAAGATCCTAGTGAAATGGTCATAATATGATTCTGGATTAACATTTTCCAAAACATTTACCTGTTTCCCTTGTTCTTCATCAATAATAATCTCTCCTATCATCATGACGTCTCCCCGTCTTCCGAGACCTTAAGAGGCTTGGACATAAATGTCTGGTTCGGATGTGAATTTCCTGCCACGATTACTGAACCAAGGATCTCCCCCCAAAAATAAATCTAATCTAACTTCTTTTGCATCCATTAGTGTTTCTAAAATTACATCTCCTGTTGTAATTGCCAAAGTCTTGAAAGAATCGTCGGGCAAACACAAGTTCAGGAGTCTGAGTTGTGGCATTCATCCTGATGTTGAAGGAACTAACTCTTCTTTGCATCTGCAGTGGAACAAGTGTGATGTTCACAGACGAAGTGAAAACTTCCTTTGCAGCTAAGAATCGAGAAACATGTTAAATTCTGCATATTAATTCGAGGGAACCGTGAAAATATTTCCTTTGATCACTGAGCTTGCATTCTCTGATAGAATGATCTGTGCTAAATTAGTCAATACTGTGATATTTGATCCTGGATATCCAACGAGTCCACCATAGACTTCCAAATTTCTCGTGCTGATGGTTGCCTGTGTTCCGGATTACTGGTATCTCTAGGAGCTCCGTATTTGACACAGGTTTCTCTTGTGCATCTGAAAAAGTCATTAGAAGGCCAATAGGCCATATATTTGTAACTTGTTTTTGCTCATGCATGTTCTGCAACATTTTTTAGTTGTTATATTCACGGAAGTATTTATAATTTTACCTTCTTGGACTTCGAGGTAAATCACAAGCAAGTCCATATAGTGTGTTGTAGTCCAAGTAACCACCACCACCATGAGGGGTAGCCTTGGAATACTTGCAGTCTTCGATTGCGGCAAAAGATGGATTGGCTAGCCCAACTGAAAATGCTTTTTGCCAAGACCAACTGGAATGTCATCGCGACCCATCATATGTAGTATGCCATATGTGACATCCGTTGCAGGAGTCACCCAGCCTGTTGAGCTGATTAGTATTCCCTAGTTGAACATAGAAATATCAACCATGACAAACTTCAGTAAAGCCTGAACATTAGCCATGCTTAAATATAACTTGCAGAACATTGCAATATTTCTCTAATTTAAAGTTGCAAATGCTCAACTCTTGAGATCTGCAGTCTACATTGAGATTAGTCCTAGCAAATCCAATCCGATATAAACTACCTCGAGATCGATTAATTCCACAGGTAACTTGAGGAGATGTAAAAGAGCTAGAAAGTCCTCGGCACTCATGTCCTTGTCAAAATCAATCGCTTTCACTATGTACCCCATTCTTGTGTACATTGAATACCCTGTAAGCAGTGGAATGAAGCCATCTAATGCCCCAGAAGGTTGAACTCAGCATTGTCAAACAAAACAACCGAAGGAACACATTGTAGGCAGCAAACGGGTCTGAAAATACTTTGAACTCAGCATATTGATATCTATCTTGTGGGTACAGATTACTAATATCAGAACATTCCCTTGAATCATCAGAATCGTGGTTCTTCAGACAGTCTGATCTAACGGAACCTCCCATGGCAAAAATGTGTTCCACATCATCTTCAAGTGAGGATTGTTCATAAGCAAGATGGCAAATTTGTATGTGCTCCCTTGAGAAACACAGTTATATGACCTGAAGATATTACATCTATCATCACTTCTAGTGCTGTTGGTTGCTGAAGAGGGGAGTATATCTTCTTTGTAAATGTTATAATAGCATTATAAGTAAATTTAGAAGGTAAATAATGGTGAACATCTTTAAAGTTACTAAACTCATGAAATGTTACTAGTTAAAATGTTACTAGTTAAAATCTTTTTTTAAAATATATTATAATTGATTTGATATTTAATATTTATTTCCATCATTAAATTAATTATTCAAATCCGTTAATAAAATAAATTATTGTTCTAGTGGTAATTTTATAGTATTAACTTTTTATTGTAATACTTTTAAGAGAAAATAACCTCAGTAACAAAAAATGCTTTATAATATACGATTTTAACCAACTTTTTTTGGATTTGCCAAAATGACCAACTAAATCGCAATGCAATTATGACTGTCGCAACACGATTATGACTGTCGCAACGCGATTCTGACTGTCGCAACGCGATTCTGACTGTCGCAACACTGAATTTCAAATTTGCAACAGGTTTTAGTTTCACAACACAAATGTTTTCGGTATATAACTACGCAGCAGAAGCAACTCATAACCTAAATCCCTAATTAACAACAGGTTTTAGTTTCGCAACACAAATGTTTTGGGTATATAACTACGCAGCAGAAGCAACTCATAACCTAAATCCCTAAATCGCAACTCATTCCATCTCCATCTATCACTCTCTCCGGCGACATCCGTTCCTATATCCAACGACATCCTTCCCCATCCGGCAACAGGTTTTAGTTTCGCAGCTCGTTTGTTTAGTAAATTAATTTACAATAATAAAATCATCTAATGTTGATCATGTTTGGATAGATTTGTGTTTTGGAGGGTCATGGGAGAATGTTCATGGTGTTTTACAATATATGCCTTTACCCATGAATCTTCAACTAAAACTATCATTAAAAAAGTTAACTTATGAAACTCTAATATTACATGTTGCAAATAAATTGAATTTAGAGCCCTTAAGTGGATTTAGGCTATCTTATCAGAGAAAAGGTAAAGTTTATTTGTTAACCGACAATGAAGATGTTGAACGATTCATTGCTTACATTAGTGTTTCGCAAGATGATGTTACAATGTATGTTGTTGAACCTAGAAGTAATGAAATTGGGTCAGTAGCGGGTAGTAATCAACTAAGTTTTTCAACCCCAGTTTATGGTGCTCAAAATTTAATGGTTCCACCACAATTTCATCACCAAGCAAATTTTGTTTCACCACATTTCCAATACCAAACACAATCTCAAAACCCACAACCTTTCCCTAATCCAAATCCCAATCAACTTTCAGCACCAAATTCCGGTTTTCATATTAACCAGTTAGACGATGATGAGCCAACAGAAAAAATTGTGAGTACTAGTCGGTATTCGAAATTTGATCTTGGTCAATACCCGGACTTTGATCTTGGTCAATACTCGGATTTTGATGATGTTTCAGAAGAAGAAACAGACCCTGCGTGTAATGATTTTGATATTGATCAATACCCGAATTTTGATGATGAAACAGCCGCTGCCGAGGAAGATGTTGTTGATGATAATGAGGAGGAAGTTACGACTGTGAATGAACATGTTGAACATCCATTATGTAATTCATATAACCCTGAAGAAGAAGAAGAAGAAGAAGAAATCCCCGAAGAAAAGTCCCCAAAGAAAATGCCACGGGAGTATAACTGGAATATGCCAGAATTACTTCAGATACCGGAAGAAGAGTTGGTAAAAATAGCATTTGATTGTTACACAAAAATTATTCGTATCAAGAAAGATGATTGTTTTGATACAAAAGAAGACTTGAAGATAGCTTTGTATAAGAAATGTGTGGAAGATGGCTATCAACTAAAAGTTAACAAATCAAGCAAAGATCGTTTCGAAACAAGGTGTATGATTGATAAAACCTGTACGTGGCGTATGATTGCAAAGAGGATAAAAGATTGCGAAATATTTCAAGTTAGGACTTTTATTGATAAACATACATGTTCAAGAACCCAATTTTTTCCTCACCATAGACAGGCAAACAAAAAGGTGTTGGGTGGTTTTCTGACTGAGTTAATGTTTTTGAATGGCAGGGTATATCGGAGACATGAAATTATGACTGACATGAATGCTCGGTTCAAGATTAGTATCTCATATTCTCAAGCTTGGAGAGCCAAATGTTATGCCTTGGAATTGTTGAGGGGGTCGCCAGAAGCATCGTTTGCCCAACTGCCGGCTTATTGTCACAATTTAAAGCTGAAAAATCCTGGGTCAGTAACTCATATCAAAACAGATAGAGATGGATGCTTTGAGTTGCTGTTTATCGCCATTGGTGCTGCGGTTAGTAAATCAATATAATTTTGTTGACTCATTTTTGTTAGTTACATGCATTTCATATTTAAATGATTATATTTCTTGTGTATATGATTTTGTAGATTCGTTCGTTTATTACTTGCATGCGCCCAATTATTATAGTTGACGGAGCACATTTAAAAGGTCGATACCTTGGAGTAAACTTATTAGCAGTAGCCATGGATGCTAACAATGGGATACTGCCAATAGCTTACGGGGTTGGCAAATCTGAAACCTCTGATTCATGGACATGGTTTATGGGGCATCTTAGGGATTACATAGGTCCTATTAGCAATCTGACAATCATATCCGATAGGGCAAACTCAATTGACAACGCTGTTAGAAGGTGTTTCCCAGATGTTTTTCATGGACTTTGTGGTGTTCATTTATATAGAAATCTAAAATCAAGGTCTGCTGGTATAAAAAATCACAAATGGACATACTGGAAGGCTGTAAAAGCTTATCGGGAAGTGGATTTTAATAAGCATATAAATTGTTTAAGACGTGTTTTGCCTCAGTGTGCTCAAACACTAGAAGATGTCGGGTTTGAAAGATGGTCAAGAGTACATCAACTTGGAGCAAGATATGGTTTCATGACGTTTAATAGTGCAGAATCAATCAACGCTCTAAGTCGTCATTCCCGAAAATTACCCATTACTATGTTAATGGAGTTTTTTCGAGCTTCTATTCAACAGTGGTACTACAAGAAAAGAAACCATGCAGGTATTATTTCTTTAAATTCGTAACTTATCATATATTTTACTAAGTATTATTTATTTAAATTTACAGGAACATTGGAACATCGTGTTACACCATGGACTGAAAAAAAGATAACGAAACGTGTTGTGAAGTCAACGTCATGGAGAGTTGAACCATGTTCAAACACTTTGTTTGAAGTACTGGATAATAACTTAAATGGGCTTGTCGATCTAAATGCAAAGACGTGTAGTTGTATGAAATGGCAAACATCTGGTTATCCGTGTGGGCATGTTATAAAAGTTGCTCTTCATCTAAATCAAGATGATTCAAGCGCATACGCTATGGATTGCTACACTACAGAAGTATATCGACAGACTTATGCCGA